CGGAATCTAAAAAAAAAACTAATAAATCCATGGAGCAGTTTAAATCTAACTGGCGTTCAGCGGCGAATAAGGTCGATGAAACCACTATGCAAAATTGAATGGAAGGGGTTAAGCGGAAGGCACAGCAGTTCGGATTTGGCAAAACCAAAAGAATAAACGAACATTTTTTTCCTTTAAATATATGAATTGAACTACCAAAAGAAAAAATAAGAAGATTTTTATGATATGAATTTTGACTGAAAGAAACGATTTTTTTGTCGATCAATTTTTGCGCGTTCCAGTCTTTATTGTGCTTTGAGTAGAAATTTCATGGCAATTTCTATGGTCATTCAAGTCGGTTTGTCGGTGTTCTCCCTACCTGACTGAACAAGAGTGAGCTACAGCCAACCATGAAATTGGTATGGTACGTTGTCACAATTGCAGTATTACTGTCGAAATTAAACTAATTTCATTGCATCCATTAAAATCACCCATTCACACAATGCATAAAAGCACGGTTAAAATGCCGTCACTCTGCCAGAAATCAAGTGATTAGTTTATAATTTTCAGACTGAAAATGTACCTCAAACTCTTTTCCATTATACTGGTTTTTCGGCAAATCCCACGGCCCGTTATCCTCGAAAATTCTAGCGTGAACATCCGATGGCGGCAGGTCCTCAAAATAATCCACCATTTCCCGGTGACATGTGAGAATAGTTGTGAGACAAATTTTTCATAAATTTGTCCCCAAAATGTTCACAGAAGTGACCCATTGGGTATAGAATAAGGGTTCTACCAACCGGTAGCAACTAACGATTTTAAATTGGCTCACTACTTGACTAGCCTATTGGTCCCAAGCAAATCGATTAACGTACTCCATTCTAGTCGAAATTCTAGTACTACGCAATGTTTGTTTTGATTCGCTATGAAAGTTTTACCTTGTACAGACATACAAAGTACACTGTTGTACCATAGAGGTAACTCTAAGACTAGAAGGTCCCGAAATAACGTGCTCAACTTTTTGGCTCAGCTCTGGTACTCTCTTCGGTCCCAAGCTAATCGATTCACCCCTCGAAACATAGGAAAATCCACTAACCCCTCATTTTATCTGTCAAACCTTCATAGCGAATCAAAACAAACATTGTGTAGTACTAGAATTTCGACTAGAATGGGGTGCGTTAACCGTTTGCTTGGGACCAATAGGCTTGTCAAGGAGTGAGCCAATTTAAAATCGTTAGTTTCGTATTGATTGTTGGTTGTACTACCGTTGTATTTCTTTAAGCTAGTACCTCAAATTGTACCTTTTGAGTTACTCGATTAAAGGAGTACAACCAACAATCAATACGAAACTAACGATTTTAAATTTCACTGCTTGACTAGCCTATTGGTCCCAAGCAAATCGATTAACGTATCCCATTCTAGTCAAAATTCTAGTACTACACAATGTCTGTGCCACCTATACATCCATACAACTGGTGCTAAATGCAATCGATTTTCCTTGTTCTAGATTGTTTGATATTGCATATAGTCCTGTGTACTTGACCAAACAGCTATATGTATTTGTTGTGGTAGTCCTTCAAAAGAGTCTCATCCAAGATCTTCTAAATTGGCTGTTGTATATCTGGGAACATAGCTTTGAATTACATTTGAAATATTTAAATCTTGTCAATTTCAAAGTCTTCTGAATCTCCTCAAGATGTTCGTCATATTTTTGGATGCCAAAAAATATATGATTGGTTCATCCGACCATGTTCATATATTCCATTGGACTTGCTGTAGAGGCCCTCTTAGCGTCACTCGAGGGATTTCTCGGAACTTCTCGCAATTCCTCCGTATTAGTTCGTTGCAGTTATTTAGATTTTGCCTGGAAATTATTTAAATTTCTGTGTTTGGCCTTGTCATGCTAATTGTATTGACGTATGCTGAGTGTAACACCCGTGGAATTTAGGACATCTGTAGAAGGTACAGAAGATGACGTCTTCAACGTAATAACATAGCATAGCAAAAGGGGCTATTTTATCAGTGTTGAGTATATTCATCATTGCGACCATTACTTTGATCTCCTGTGATATATTCCCCGTTTTTATAATTGCTTGAAGTATGTCGTATCACTATGTTGGGAAGCGATCGACATAGACTGACCAAAAACATTTTCCCAGAAAGGTATTACATTTCGAATGAAACGTACTGCTTGACTGGGACCTGCATTCCAAATATCAAAGGGTTCTGCCAGCCCCTTATCCAGATAAATACACCTTTTATTGAAGATTACTGTACCTTTAAGAGCATAGCAGGTGTTCAGAGTCTACCTTTTCTATTTCACAGAATCGACACAAGAAGTTTTCCCATTAACTTCAAGTGATATTTACATGGACAATGTCCTGTTATCAGACCAGTATAGACACTGAGATCTTTCTTTGATAATTCAAGAATTCTGCTAGTTATTAAAATGTTCGGAATTATGAACCGTTTCCATTGCCTAGCAATGGAACTTCCTTTCCCATCAATTCCACAGTGGCCAGGAACCCAATGTAGGTGCACTTAGTTTTGACAGGCCAATTTCTGAAGTGACATTGCACATTTCCATACGAGTTTCGAATTGCATGTTACTGATTTTACAGCATTTAATGCTGCTTGACTATCAGACATAATGCAGGTATTCGAATGATTAAGATTTCTGCGCAAGCATGTTACAGAGCATTCAAGAATTGCTTGAATTATACTTGGAACACGGTTGACCAGTATCCATAGATATTGAGATATCTATCCCTGGACCAGCCACCCCTGCTCCCACACGATTGTTCAATCTTGAATCGTCTGTATAAAAAAAGGTGATCCTGGACGGATGTTTGGTCTACAACTTTGCCAAGCATTAAGATCAAATTCCGTCGCATTGTATAAACGATCAAAATGATATTTTTCCTCCATCCAGTCTTCATTTTGTAATACAAGAGAATCAATATAAAATATTTTTAGAATACTAAGTTGTCCTGTAAAATCACCTTCAAGGAAGAACTTTGTCCGTTCAGCTACTAATTGGATAAATTGATGCAACCGACGCCGATAAAGTTGAGCATCTAGTGCCATTTTTTTCCTCTGTTCGGGACATAAAACCAATGCGACCAGTAATTTGATCTTTTGTAGTATATCCCGTGTCCTTAGTTTAGTGCTTGTCGTATCACTCTATCACTATTAAGAAATTGTGAAGTATTCGGTTTTAATACAGTTGCCATTCTTGCCTTCATCGCAAGGAATCGATTCTAATTGAAAGGTCCCGCTATTTATACCCTTCGAAGAGTGAGATCATACTCCAAAAGCGCGCCCTTTTTCAGTCAAAATTGGATTCCTTAGCAACAAAATTAAGTATAATGACCATCCATCAGAACCCTAGTCTTAACCACGGAACAACGAATAGAATATTAGAAATCACATAGATGAAGACTAACTCATTTTTTGCTTGTTTCAAGATCATCCTCGGTCCAGGCAACCCGAGGACTTATCACTAGCAACAAGGCATAAAAAGTAACAAGGACTAAGATGTGTTCCTTTGATTACTGAAAAATCCTGTTCCCCTAGTTTTGAAGTAGTCAGGACTAGGAATCCCGTAACGTACCACGAAAAGGTGATCTACCCACGTTACGGGTTATCTAGTGCAATACTCGGTGTGCTCTTTCTTGCGTTATTGAGTTATTGAGTGGGTAGCAAGTCTTTGCAGTCTTCCCAGCTTCTTCTGAGCTGATTTTTCATTAGTTTTAGGCAACCAAACCCATGATGCGTAGGATATTCTGGATCTTACAATCGTCAAATAAATCCAGTGGATCATTTTTGGTTTTAGGTCGCATTTCCTACCAAAAGTGTTTTTACTTATCCAAAGAGCACCTGCTCTAGATGTGAATTCGAGTTGAAGTTTACTGTTCTAGAGATCTTCCTTTCAATTTTATGTTACTTATAGAAAATTTTCTGATCCATGTGAACGGTACATTAGTGGTCTTAGGAGGGTTTATTTTCAACCCTTATGTGGCGCATCACGACGAAACATAATTTAAAGCAGTTGTGCTCCAAATGTTTTTGAGAAATTTGTCAACTACTAAAGACCATAATAGAGGTTAAAGCACGCCTCCTTGAGGGCACCCTTTTACAGCTCTAACTCCAAGGTTTGCTTAGAGGCTATTACTGAAAAACCAGCCTGTTAATTTTCCTCCTGATTCAGGATAGAACCCTGAACCAAAACGTCAAATCCCATAGAACCATAATGTCAAAATCGAAGAAATGTTGGATTCAACCTGAATGTAGGGCAGGCCTGTCCAACCTTTCGAAAATAGCTTATTTAAATGGCTGTATCTACTTTCGATGAACATGTTTCAAGCTGCATTTTGTTTCTTTCTCATTCATGTTGGACTGAAATTCATAATGATGAATAAAATTGGACTAGAATTATGCCATTGCTGGGCAGCGCTGATGTAGGGGGTATGACAGATCCAAGAAGGTGGCTAGTCACGTGGTGCTTTTCCTCACAAAGTCATCAATTTCAAGTACAAACGGAAGGCTGTCGATTTGTCAAGCAATCTTTCCTAGCACTGATCTATTCTGTCATCCATTTAAGGATGGTAGCACTTTTCCGTTTATTGGTACACGACTTTTTCTTCATGGGTAAAGTACATCGTTTTAAATAACATATTTTTCTGAGTAAAATTCTTTGAATATGTTTTATCGATGCTAGTAAAATTAATCAATACACAGCCGAAGTATGCAGTTTTACGACATTCTGCAGTTACTTTAGGGCATTGATAATTGCGATTGCAGAACACTCCATTTTCCATTACTCTAATTTTTTTGTACCGATAATCACGTATAAAATCTAACCACTAGTTTGACGGACACTTTACATGATCACAACTAATCCTCAATCACTTGAAACAAAAACCCCCCATTTGACAAGGAACAACTGAACCAATCACACTTGCTACTCCTAAAAATTTCCAAACAATCACAAAGAGTTAAACGACAAAAAATCCACTTACTCATACTCATCTTGACGGTGGACTGATAAAGACTAACCGGCTACGACCGAGACTAACACGAGTCCCCACAATAGTGGGAACAGCTCAAACACGAACTGTCTTCTCACTGCTTGTTCACTTCACGACCACGATATCGCCACCGACTATAAAATGACGACGACCATTGACGACACTTTTGCTAAGATAGCTTTTTTTTTCTCTTCCCTGCTCGAGAGAGTAGCCTTCCCGACGATTGTGAACAGATCTCAACAATTTAATCAATTTTATTATAAATCACGATAACGACACACACACACACACTGAGGGTCTCCGCCTTCGACTCCACTGGGGCTATTGCATAACTGCAGTGGGATGGGGCCCGAAAACTAATAGCTAGATCGTCGTCCCTCAGATGACACCAATCGCCGTATGTACTCCTCCGTCCTCAGCGTCATATGATTGCAATTGTTTGTTCGAAACCAGTCGCAAGTACTCGTCGTTCGTCACAGGCCTACAGTGGAGAAGAAGAAAAAGAAGAAAACCATAAATTACCTTTTTTATCTACCTCATTTGAAATTGTTTGTCATTTTAATTAGCGGCCATATCCGCGGCTCTCGTGTTTAATTTGCTTATGAATTTCTAATTTAGCACAATCAACAGCACCGTAAGTAAGTAGGGCCTACTGGTTACAACCCAAATTGGGGTCTTTTTCTCTGTCTCGACGAGTGTTTACCCTTCTTTTCCAATAAAACCTCAGCGCGCGGTGCGTAATCATATGCTCAGAAAACGATTCGCGTGTCCACACAGTGCTTCCAATCGTTTAAGCCAATTATTTACGAGAATGTCACACTTTGTTCTCAATTGGTTTCAATTTGTGGAACAGTTTTCACTTTTCGACGACCCTTACAACATAAAACCTTACCAGTATGGTGGAGTGATCAGATCGTATATCACAAGATCGCCAACTCACAGACGAGCAGCAACACGTGATGCCTTTTCTATCTCACTCGCACTGTGATAACTGTAACAACAGCAGCAATGTAACAAGCAACCAGTGGCTAATTTCCACCGGAATTAATCCACCTCAGTTGGCTGTGCACCCGCACTTGTTAAAAGGATGGTCTTAAAATATCTAGCACGTGCCTTCAGATATTTATTCCTTGTTGAAAAACTTGTCCAACTACGTAGCTTGCATTAACACCTCCTTGACTCTTTGGCTGCTGATGTCTACTATATTGTGTACTTACTAAATGTATTTAATGGCAATAGGCATGTATGTACGTAAGTGTACTCTATCTTCTGCGAGTGACGGTATCTACACACCTAACACCGTAGGTAGTCCGTCGGCTCGTCGTCAGACCAATCCGGGAGGAAAAGGCACTGAGCAGCAAACGCCAGCATGGAGTCAGTTCGGACATGTGGAAAAATATTACGTTGACTTTGATAGCAGTACATGCCAACGGATAATAGGCTTCATATACACGTACTTAACAACCGCAAGCACTTTAGATAGAAATGCCTAAATAGGGTGGATGTACTGGATTTTCGGTGTACGCTATTTTGGTCAGTTTTCCAATCACTAGCTCCATGTCATGTGTTGAGTAAACAAACGATCTGCTTTTGCAATATGATTTCTTGTGGTCCTACTTTGTTGATTCAATACTCGCTTTAGTAAATCAAATCAGGGTAAAATTATGGCGATTTATTGGGCCATTAACCATACAGCCTTCGAGAACAATAAAAAGGGTGCGAATAAGACCACCCTCAATTAAGATTTTATTTCGTCAATGTAATTTAACATACGTGAAGGAGAGTTTAGTAATGAGTGTAAGAGCCATTGTTTCGAATTACTTCAATGAACCGTGATTTCATGGACAAAATCAGTTTTTCCAGGTTATCCTGATTGATCTGCGACCAGTATTCTCGAATTTGACATGTCAGCATTTTTACGTTGTCAAATTGTTTGACATTTTCGTAAACGCGACGATCAAGAATTGATCAAAGCTTTTCGATAGGGTTTAGATCCGGAGAACAAGATGGCCACTCGAGAACCACTATGTTTTTGTCAGAAAACCAGGCCTTCATGGCTTGACAGAGGGATCGGAAGCTGCAAATCTGCACTCTTGGCTGCTCTAGAAAAATCTTTGCTTACCCTTCGGCGTAAGCTTACTTTTCTTTCCACGTCGGTCGCCATTTTTTAGTAATCTTCCGACAACGGTACGTGATCGAAACAGTTTCCGACCGATTTCTCTACAAGAGAGGCCCGCATCATGGTAGGCTTAGATTCTTCTTGAACCAACACCTACAAGCGACACATCCAATTATGTACATGACTTACTTAAGGGTCCTGTGCACCACCAGCGGTGCAAAGGGCCAACGTGAAAGACTTCCATCCTGGGCGGCTGCTCGCTTTTGCCTTGACCCAGGTCAGATTCCTATCGACTTGCTTAATTTCCTTATTGAGGCTCCGCCGCCATGAGCCCCTGGGTCTACCTCTGCTGCGATGTCCTGCCGGATTCCAATCCAGCGCTTGCTTGCAGATTTCGTTTCCGCCCCGTCGAAGTGTGTGGCCGACCCACCTCCACTTTCGCTCTCGAATTTCTGTTGCTATCGGCTTCTGATGACATCGACGATAGAGCTCGGCATTCGAGATCCAGTTGTGAGGCCACCAGGCACGAATTATATACCGCAGGCATCGGTTGATGAAGACCTGCAGCTTTTGAGTGTTCTCCGCTGATACACACCACGTCTCGCTGGCGTATAACAACACAGATTTCACGTTCGAGTTGAAAATTCGGATTTTGGTGCGTTGACTTATCTGGTTGGATAGGCAGCCCTAGCCTTCTTGATTCGTGTACCTATGTCACTCTTGGTCCCGCCGTCCGACGCTATTTGGCTGCCAAGATATTGGAAACTTTCGACCTTCTCCACTGCTTGCCCCGCTACCGTAAAGTTGGAAGGGTTGCCCGTGTTGATATCCAACGATTTGGTCTTGTTGACGTTGATGGTAAGACCCGCCGCAGAGGAGCGTTCGGCTAGGTCATTGAGCTTACTCTGCATATCAGAGCGCCGTTGTGCTAGTAGAGCAACATCATCAGCCAAATCGAAGTCGTTGAGATGCTCCATGGTGATAGGCTGCCAAAGCAGCCCACGGTTCGGTACACGGTCAATTGCACCTACCATGATCTCGTCGATTACGATGAGAAACAGTAGCGGTGATAGTATACATCCTTGTCTCACACCAGCGACTACCCGGATAGGGTCGGACAAGGCTCCGTTATGCAGAACTCTGCACGTGAAAGCCTCATACTGCGCTTCGATGAGGTTGACGATTTTATCCGGGACTCCCTTGCGTCTCAGGGCGCCCCACAGATTCTCGTGATTGAGACGGTCGAAAGCACGGTCGTAGTCAATGAATACCAAATAAAGGGACTCTTGGAATTCATAGACCTGCTCCAGGATAATGCGGAACGTGACAATATGATCCACACAAGATCTTCCGGCACGGAATCCTGCCTGCTGCCGTCGGAGAGTCGCGTCGATCTTCTCCTGTATCCGATTCAGGATAACTTTGCACAGAACTTTGAGAACAATACACAGTAACATGATGCCTCGCCAATTGTCGCACACAGTCAGATCCCCCTTCTTTGGGACCTTCACTAAGATGCCCTGCATCCAGTCGGCCGGAAAAGTCGCGGTGTCCCAAATATTACAGAATAGTTGATGCAACATTTGTGCGGATAGCATGGGGTCAGCTTTGAGCATCTCTGCTGATATGCGATCGACCCCTGGAGCCTTGTTCGATTTCATGCTTCGGATAGCTGCTTCAATCTCCTGCAATGATGGGGCCTCGGAATTGACGCGAGTGATGTGCCGCACCCTAGGCGGATCATGCCGAGATGTTGATGGCTGGTTGGCCGTCGAAACTTGAAGAAGTTCGAAGTGCTCAAACCAGCGTTTCAGCTGGTCAGTGGGGTCGGTAAGCAATTGTCCAGTCCTGTCCTTCACTGGCATCCTCGGGTTCATCCTTGCTCCACTCAGGCGTCGTGAGATATCGTAGAGGAGGCGTATATCGCCAGTGTTTGCGGCTTTCTCCCCTTCGTCGGCCAGGGAGTTCACCCACGCTCGCTTGTCCCGTCTGCAAGAGCGCTTGACTTCCTTCTCTAGAGCCGAGTACCGTTGACGGGCTTCGTTCTTGGCTCCTCTGATTCTCGCCCGCTCTATCGCGGCTTTTGCTTCTCTACGCTCCTCAATCTTCCGCCAGGTTTCATCTGTGATCCACTCTTTCCTCTGGGTGCGCAGCTCACCCAAGTTGTTCTCGATTGTTTCTATAAAGGCATTCTTGATGGCCGTCCATTGTTCTTCTACGCTGCCACCTTCTGGAACGTCCGCAGCTCGAGTCTCAAGTTCTTCAACAAAAGACCTTTTTACCGCTGGATCTTCAAGTCGGCGTGTGTTGAACCGCCGCCCGAGTCTCTCCTCCCGTCGCTGGATCCGCGCGATGCGTAGGCGGATTTCGCCGATTAGAAGGTGATGGTCAGACGCGATGCGCTGCGTTTATTCCGGACATCAAGAAGGCTCCGTCTCCATTTTCGGCTGATGCAGATGTGGCCGATCTGATTTTCGGTATGTCCATCACGGGAAACCCACGTGACTTTGTGCACTGGCCGATGGGGGAAGAGCGAGCACCCGATCACCATGTCGTTATTGCCACAAAATACTGCAAACAGCTCACCGTTCTCGCTCATTTCGCCGAGACCATGGCGTCCCATGACACGCTCATAATCCGTGTTGTCGGAGCCGATCTACGCATTGAAGTCGCCAGTGTAGATCTTGATGTCACCCTTTGGAACCTTATCCACGACGGCATTCATGTAAAAATTCTCCTTGTCCTGTAGCTCGGCAGCATCGGTTGGCGCATAACATTGGATTATGGTAAGGTTACGAACCCGTGTTCTTAATCTGGCAACGATTATCCTCTCATTAATAGGCTCCCACTTGATGAGCGCAGCACTTGCCTGGACGCTAAGTAGGAAACCAACTTCACGATGGCGGGGAGCGTTTTCACCTCTAATACCAGAGTATAGTAGTACCTGTCCCGACGGCAGTTTGTATTCTCCAAAGTTTGGCCAACGAACTTCACTCAGTCCCATGATTTCTAGCTTCATGCGTCGCGCCTCGTTGGCGAGTTGTGCCAGTTTACCCTGTTGGGCTAACGTCAATACATTCCATGATCCAATTCGTGTCCGTTGTTTTGCGCTAAAAGTCGTTGCCGTTAAATCAGTTCTATGTCTTTCTCTGTTGGTTTCTGTAACAATTTGAAGATTTCGGAGACAGCAGTAGGTGGTTGGCCTAAGGTCTCCTATCCGCCATGATGGGGCTGCCATCTTAGGTGTAGCTTCCGGGGAAGAGCATTTCTTATTCAGCCGGTGGATGCCAGTCAGACGCTGTTTGAGCCGCACCTCCATGGTGAACAGACGCTCGGGTTGGCGAAGCATTTCCTCTATCTTT